CTTGCACTCTCTTTCTGTCTAAAAGTAAATAAGTAAACTTCAAAAAAAATAAAAATATTAAAAGATGAGGTTACACTTTCATGAGTATGTTCATGGCTTTTTGGCAGCCTTCCAGCTGTGCCCTTCCATAATTGACTCCCCTTCATGGGTGGTCCTTTGACGTCGGGTGGCTGTTCTTATCTTCCTTTCAATTTGTGATTTTCAGATTTTTTTAGCTCCTGTGAATGCTCACTGGTTGGGTTGAGTTTTTACCTACCATATCTTCTTAGGTGGAGCTAATTTAAAATTACCCAGTCCTGGGGCACCTGGGGGGCTCAGTCAGTTGCGCGTCAGACTTCAGGTCAGGTCATGATCTCGCAGTTCATGGGTTTGAGCCCCAGTTTGGGCTCTGCACTGACAGCTCAGAGCCTTGAGCCTACTTCAGATTCTGTGTCTCCTTTTTTCCCTCTGCTCCTCCCCCAGTTTGTGCTCTCTCTCTCTCTCTCTCTCAAAAATAAATAAATAAGTAAACATTAAAAAAAAATTACCCTGTCTTACTTTGCTGACTTGGGTCAGTGTCTGGTTAATGAGTTTCCTGGTGTTTTACAGATGATGGAGGAGTTTTCAGTTATTAACACAGGCAGCACCAATTCTCTCAGACTACCCTTCCTTCTATTCTCTCTCTCTCTGCTGTTCCTTCTGAGAAATAACCAGCGACTCTAGTATATTCTATCCAATCAGTTCAACAGAAACTCCCTATTTAACACCCTGCCATGCACCTCCATTTTTCTGTTTCCCACAAGAAGTGAACACAGGAGAGTTTGATATTATTTACACATAAATTTGAACCAGAATAGAAGAGTTTTTGCCTATACTTTTTACCACTAAATTTAACTGAAAGAAACCAATAAACGAAATATACTGTTACTTACGGTTGGAGATCACTGAGAGGATGTGATCCACTGGTTGACACATGAGCTGGGTCTGGGTAACCAGAGGTTCCTCACGCCTTTCCTTACTCTTGCCCTTGGGATGTACATTCTGCCCACTGTTCCCACAGTGCGAAACATTTTCAAGAATGAATCCTTGAGAGAGCAATATGCTGAGGAGTCCATGTGATGTGTCCATGTGGATGGTAAATGTGACTAAAGGCACCTAAAGCCACTCTAAAAGCTTTTAAGATGTGGCAGTTTGGTGCAGTGATCTCATTTTTCAGGCACCCAGGAAAGTCTCATATGTAAGTTTCCCTGTTTACTAAACCTGCCAGCTACAAATCTGGAGTGGTCTGCCTCTGTTTTGCATCTCTCCTTGCCATCCTCTGTCTAGGAGTTGATTTCAGATTTCATTTGGGAAGCTCCTAAGGTTTTGAAGGATCAACAATTGGCAGCCACTCAATAGTCAGAAGAAAGGGGTCTTGAGACAGAAGCATCCATGGAGGAAATGCATAGTTAGCCATCCACTTCTGTGTGGGGAGGGGCGGCCCATTTCTCAGACGCTGGTGAATTGCCACGTGAGTACAGGGGTGATTGAAAACACTTGCTGGTCTAATGCGTTTGTTTGAAGACATACACACAGCATACTGTGGCAAAGCAGGGAAGCGAATGGTTGCTTCAGTGGGCTGGCCGCTGTGGTGGGCAGTTCAGCTGGACACTGGTGCCCGACTAGAGGCTGAAGCCTGAGTTTAAAAGTTGAGGGCAGAGCTGAAATTAGAGAATGACATGTCATGGTCTGTTACTCTGCTGGCTTCCAGGCAGGAAGAGTAAATTAGTCAGAGAGCTTAGTGTGCAATTCTGCAAAGCTAGGACGGTGCAAACTGCTGTGGATTTAGGGTCGGAGAGCTGAGTGCTCGTGATTGGGATGCTAAGAGGTGGAATCTCTGGAAAGGTGTTGAAAACTAAGAGAAGTATGTTGCAGTAATTGACAGTGAAAGAGACAAAATGCCCGGTGTCTGACCCTTAACACAAAGGAAGGGAAAAAGCACAGTAGCAATAACCCCAGACAGCCTGGCACCTCCCAATTCAAGGAATGTTCATAATGAGAGATTGTCTCCCACTAAGCTTATTGGTATAGATGCCAGGTTCCAGCACAGGTCAGGGAAAGTTTACAGGCATGGTTGGGGAGTGTTTGTGGGTTATGGAGGTCACAGCATTTCTCTCACTTGGCAGGAGGCAGAGAAAATAAGCAGCATCACCACACACCCTGCCTTCCCATGGCACCTTAGTGATACTCAAGGGATTCAAGGCATTCACTCCCATATGAGTTGTTATTGTATCCTGCAAGGAGTCTTGGCCAAATGGCAGGTATCTCCCTGGGCACGTGGGACATGGGAAATCTATAGAGAAAGTACAACATATTCTTAGGAAGTTGGGAAGGAGACCTCTGTCTTTGAAAGCTCCGATCGGGTCACATTCAATGCAGACATGAAAGCCAAAATGCTTGAGCAAACCCCTAGCACTGGATATGGGATGCTGATGTTCATGCTGAGCACAGTTGTGAGACAAGACATCTATGATGTTAGGCATTCCATTGTTGATGTGGGTGGAAATGACAAATCCTGGGAATAAGAGGGAAAGTCCTATGACCGAGAAGGAATTCAAAAAGTCAGAAGGCTATCGCAAAAGCCTGTAAAATGTTCAGCACATTGAGTTGGTAAACCTAAGGAAGACGTCAAAAGCTGAACAACAGTTCACACCTGTCCCTACTTGCCGCTTGCAGCCCTGATGCCCCACCTGCTCTAACAGGGTTCTCAGGGATACAGTCCTAGTCTGAATGGGTGCCTCTCATGTCCTGAATATAGGATGCAGGCCAAGACTGCTTCACCACCAGGCCTCGGGTTGAGCTCACTCTTCACTGGTCCTCCAGAAATAAACAAAAGGGGATGGTTCTGGTGGATACTGGAACCAAATGTACTCTAATACGAGTAACCCTCAGAAATCTTCTGCACCCCCCCCCCCCCACCCAGTGCCATCAATGGTTATGGAGCGCAAACAATTGTTGTCAGGAAGTTCATTTTGACCATGGAAATTGGGTGTTCTACCCCAAGAATATAGAATTGTATCTTTCTACTACCAGAAAACATATTGGGCACTGATACCCTACAAAGTAAAACTCTACAAACCTCTATTCGTGAATTCCACTAACAGATTAGTCATCAAGCCACTGCTGAGGGAAAGCATGAACTGGGAACCCATAAGCCTACCACCCTTTAAAAAGTGGTAAGTGTCACACAATATAAATTGCTGAGGGCATAAGGAGCTAGGACAAACTATCCAAAAACTGCACTGAGTGGATATTTTACACCCTCCACATTGTGCTTTCAATAGCCCAGTACAAAAGTCAGATGGCTCATGGCAGATGACAAAGGATTGCAAAGAAGTGAGCAAGATAATGACTCCCATCCACATGGCTGTGCTCGATATTGCCACCATCTTGCATACCTTGGCCATAGTCCTAGATGTATCCCATGTTGTAACAAACTTAGCAAAAGCCTTGTCCTGATCACTGAGTCAAAAGTCCATTTGGCTGCATGTGGGAGGGGCAACCCCAGATCTTTCAAGTTCTTTCCCAAGGTTACCTGCACAGCCCCACTATATGTCATGGGATGGTAGCTGGGGGCCTATCCTGATTCTCCTTTTCCACATCATTAAAGTGGGCCTATTACAATGATGATATATGAAGGTTTCCTTCTGCTGCAGGATACTCTGCAGGCTTTGCTGGAATATCTGGGAAGAAATTGATGGGTGTTGAACCCACAGAAAATTCAAGGCCGAAGCGCCAACATAAGGTTGTGGGAGACATTTATTCAGGTAATATGTATGTCGCCCCAGAACTCTTGATAAGATGCCAGCTTATCCAACTCCTAAAACTGTGAAAGAGGTATGAGACTTTGTAAGGATTTAGGGGTTTGGAGGAGTTTTATTCCCCCATTTGGCATAATCCATCTCTTATACCACCTTTTAAAGACAGAATCCATGTGGGACAGAGGAGGAGAGCTGCAAGCCATCTTTGATAAGGTAAAAATACTAGTGAAACTGATGACAGCTCTGGGCATCATCCAAGAAGGGCTACCACTTGAATTAGATGTGTCTGTGGCCTCAGAAGATATGGATTGGGCACTGCTGCAAAGACAACAAAAGGAGAGAGTGCCCCTGGGCTTTTGTCTCCAGTTCTAGAAGGGGACAGAAACCAGATACACCTCCACAGCAATAGCCCCTCACAGTATACACTCTTCCAGGTAGAGCCTCTCATGAAGGAACCACAAGAACCAATGAGCTGAACTTGGATGGTTTGGCTGGTTATCACTCACAGGCCTTGGCTTTCAACTGATAGTTGAGCTTTTCTAAAGGGATTAGTTCTATGGCTTGGAGAATAAAATACTGAGGAGTGGCTCATTGTGAGTAGGCCCTTTGGGGTAGGATATGTGGGAAGACATTTGGGTTCAACTGTAAGACCTTGAGACAATCCTCACTGTTTTCCATGTCCTGGTTCATAACGTACTGACACCCCTGGCAATCAAGAAGCTGATGTCCTAGCTGGGGTTTGAGTCCTAGCTACTGACCTTTTAGTATATACCTCAAATAGGGTGAAAATAAAAGGGTCATTGTAGCACCTGCATGGAATGGCACATTGCCAAGGATGCCAGATTTCCCCTGAAATACAGGTACTTGGTTAATTCAGTAATGGCATGTCTCACATGTTCTACGCAATGCTCAAGGCAACTCCAGAGGATTCTGGGGCCATCTGCATGAGTTCCCAACTCGTAAGGGATCAACAAATTGGTTACATTGACCTCTTCCTTCTAAGTGATACTTTAAATATGCTCTACCTCTGGCCTCACCCAAATTTTTTCTTGTCACCATGGAAACCAGGCTGCCATTATTAGGTGATTAAAGAAGTTTAGTATGATGTATGGACACCATCATCAAATAGACAGTGGTTGCGAAAAGGGTGTCATCACATTTCAAAGGTCATAATTAAGTGACTAAAAGGTAAAACCACCTTGGCTGTGTGGACTAAAATACTGTCCCAGAACCTAATACATTTGAATGATCCACCAGCTGGGCCTCTTGCCCCATATGCCAGACTGGGGACCCCTGCTGAAGCACCCAGCACCTTAAGATATGGAAGGCACAAGAGACAGCCATCACCCTGACTCTCACTGTGGATCAACATGCTATGCTGCTGAGAACACCAAGTCCCCTCATGGCTGGGAAAGGCATTATCTACTGGGATTTGCAATGGGTCACACTGTCAGGATGTGTGAATTACTCCCCCCGCCCCCATCCCCAGAATGGGTCTCCACTGAGATTCTGTTTTCTTGCTGTAAGCTGGACTTGTAGAAATGCACCGTACTTGGAATGGAACATGCATGCACGATTCGAAGACGGGAGAAGGTGGGAATTCTGGTCTGGCTTATCACTTCCCCTGTCTACTTCTTCATGACTGACAGTGCTGCTTCCTCTGGTCAACATGTATGGGATGTACAGTCAGGTCAAGTTCCTAAAGCTGCAGTCCCATAAACATCTAAGGATCAAGCCACAAGTGTAATTCTTGCAGAAGAGGAAGCCCTTCTCACGTAAGTTCCTACTAAGTATATGTTTTTTTGACATTAGACTTCTGCTGCTCCTGATGTGTCTGATCACAGAATGGGCACCTAATGGAAATATCTTTCTAAATGGACCCATGTATATGCCTAATAAAGGAATCAGTTCAGCTACTGGGTATGTGGGCAGCTGCCCATCTCCAGCTCATCAGGATAGCCATGGTGGGTATCACCACTACAGGGAAGGGATTGGAAGCCCATAAAGCGTTCCAGTAAGGGAAAACAAGCTAAGACTAGTATGCTGTTGTCTGATATTACCCATACTGATCCAGAAACCTGGCCTGTTACACACACTAACACTGGACATGAGTATCTTTATCTGTCAATCAAACCACACAGGTAGCCCATCAAACTGCTGACCAAAAGGGTTCTAAAAATACTACCATCAGAGCCACGGGTGACTATGCTCAGATTTGGGATGGGTTCATGGAGCTCACTCCAGATTATGGGCATTGGAGCAGGCAGGCAGCCCCATACTGGGAACAGAAAAATCACTCTAAACAGAACCAATTCAACTGTATCAGTAATACAGGATAAATATCACTGGAACTATAGGGTCATTCTGCCACATTAAAGGATAGCAACTGGCTTGGCAATGACTGGTCATGCCACCCAGGTATTTACTAAGCAACCCCCAGTGGGACCCAGTGATATGTGGCAACAAACCACTGGCTATGGCTTCCACATGAGTGGCTGGACCACTATACCCTGGGTTTTCTGTTGGGAGTCATTCTGAGCCCACTAGTTGAGAAAAATCCTGGTAAGGTTAAAGCAAATTTGCATGGTCTCTTGCCAATCAGATGATGACCGATACCCACCCCCACTCAGTTATTTCTGCTTGAGCACCGACCCCTAAGGTACCTTGTTGATCAATATCAGGAGTGACTTGTCCTCTTATTCTGGCCCTGGTATGATGATTGCAACTTGTGAAGGAACTTATTGTGGGAACTTCTTCTTTTGATTATGGGAACTGACATCGTGGCTCCAGCAGGTCCTGTTTCCTTCCATACTTTCCCTTGAGCTATGAACAGGCTAATGACCCTTACTCATAAAAGATTGACCTTTACATGTACAATTCTGTTTCTACGGTTGTGTTAGTCCAAGAGGTTCATACAGCTCAACATTAAATCAGCTAACCAAAAATGTCTCTCATGCCCTAGCTATTCAAAAAATCATAAAACTAGACACAAAGGTAAATACACTCGAAGAGGCCATTCTATGTATTGGAAATGAGCTAAACTCTTTAAATGCATGATTGGCTTTCTGGTGCAATAAAGAATATAACTGGAAAATCAAGTCTTGTCCAGAGACAAAGAGCCCAACTTAGAAAGAAGGAACAGATAAGAAGAGAACATAAGTTACCACATATACCTTTGCTAACTGGTGATGTATAGCAGTCCCTTCCCTAAGGCCTACATTCAACAAACACCATCCCTTACCCTGGAAGCTGTGATGAGGATAGATAAGAGTATCTACAAACCTATGACTTAATCTTAATGTTAATAAAATGAGAACACAATGTTATTTTCTTAGATACTCAAACTCACTATAATTGGGGCAGTTCTGCAAGAAGACTTCTGTAAAACCTGTTTCTGTACATTTTCCAAAACCATTATTTCACAGAGAATACAATACCCATTGTAAACATTCCATTTTCTGATGCCATGTTAATGTTTGACCTATAAAGACACCAAAAGCATCAGGGCAGAGATGCCTGCTTGGTGACCAGAAAGGTTCTTGTGACTTTCTCACTCCATCCCTCACCGACACTGTCCATCCTTCATGGACCCCTGGACCCGACTGGAGCTGCACTCTGACAGTTTCCCTTGGACAAGGGGAAGAATTGGTTCCATGGCAACAAGAATTGCCAAGTTCCCTCTCCTCAAGGCTAGGTGGGCACATTTTAGTTTCCACTGGTGTGATCATTTGGACACTGTCTTTGTTCCTTTCATTGGCCTGGAGGATGTTATAGCGGATGTAGAAGCCCCTACTAAATTCACCCAACAAGCCTTAAATAATAGCTAGCAAAACCTGTTCACTTCACTGAACACTGAAATGCCTTTCCTGAGAAAAGCTGTCCTCCAAAACACGATGGCCTTGGACATTACTACTGCTTGCAGGACGCACCTGTGCCATTATCCAAACAGAATGTTGTGTGTTCATACCTGATGCTTCTGTTCATATGTCATCTTTATTAAATCACATGAGAACAGAAGTGAATGCCCCTAGTGATTTGATCCCCAGCCTATGGAACTTAATTCAGATCATGGGGCTTTTGGTGGAAAAAAAACATGTTACTTACTTTGGGAACCATTATCTATTTTCTCTGGCCCATACAGCCAGGAAGCCACCAAATCAGCCTCCTCCATGCTAGTGAAACCCCTTGCTAACTGCTCAGGGCACCTCGTGGAAGATGCGAGTGTGTAAGATCCTAAGATTGTCATCAGGGGTGGAATGTCAGAGGAGTCATCAAGAGGACATGATGGTGAGTAACCAACAAGCTGGGCCCAGGCAATTACTGGTTTCCCACCCCTGTCCCTGGCCTTGGGCTGTATCTTCTGCCCACTTTTCACACAGTGGGAGCTGTTTTCAAGGACTCAGCCTTGAGGGATCACTACGCTGTTGTGTTGGGAGGACTCTGTATGTGACTATCCCCAGCGAAGGCCTCTCACCTTGTAAGATGCTGGCAGGTGATTGCAGAGGGATACTCATTTTGCAGCCTCCTAAAACAAGCCTTGTGTGTAAGTTTTTTTCCTTATTAAAATGGTCACCCAGCAACCTGGAGTGTGCTGCCTCTTTCTCCAGGTCATCTTGCCTTCCATGTATAAGGGTCACTTTCAGATTTTACCCAAGAAACTCCCAAAGTGGCAAACCAACACTTACTATATTATAGATTTATGGATGAATGTTGTATTTTCAATAATCTATATTATTTAAGCTATGCACAATGATTGTGTATTATACCTAAATCAGAAATCAAAACAACATGGTATGTGTTTCTTTGAAGACAAGAAATTTTAAAAGAAAGGAGGAGATTTCTTATTATACCTTTCAGGGCTTCTATGATTATTTCTTCAATTTTTTTTGCTGGGTTATCACCTCAATCTCACAAATGCTCTCCACCCAAGACTGGGAAGTGAGCCTGGGTCATGGGAGACAGGGTTCCAATTCTCAAGTTTCTTTCGAAAATTGTTCATCCAAATATGCAATCAGAGAGTCATATCCTGGTGTCATACTCTGTTCTTTTGTCCTAACACTAAAGTTATAATACTTGTAAGCTTCAAAGGGAAGTCTTCTTTTAACTACTATTTTTGGAATATGGCAAATATGCCTAGCTAACTGCATTTGTTAAGGCTGGTATTTTAAAATGCTATCAAACCTACAGAGTACAAAGGCTCTTGTTACACGGCATCCAGAAATATACAAAGAGAACATATTTATTTCTGACCAATTAGTACAGTTAGTTATCTCACAAAACACAGTATTCCTTCACAAGGCAGTATCTGCTTATTAAAAAGTCATTTGTGGTAAGAGTGAAATGCCAGAATTTTGAGTTTCTGATACATATATTTAATGTGTGGCAAGAGTGCATCCCTAAAGATCTGATCAATTAGAAACATGAAATTTTGGCATTAATTTAGCCTCCTAAGTATATATACCCAAGACCGAAAAGCATCTTGAAATTTTTAATGACTGAAATCTTTTAAGTACACACAAAACAAATGGAAACTCTTGGCTAAGAAAGTAGAAATTCAGTAGTATAATTTAGTAGTTGCTTCACTGAAGGGTCAACATAAGAATAACCTATGAGCTTATCACATGGAACAATGTTACAGATGAAAATATAAAAGCACTGTGATGCTTTTATTACTCTAACTTCTTTTTTTAAATATCCTCTAATTTTTTAAGTTTATTTTATTTATTTATTTTTAATTTTTTTTTAATGTTAATTCACTTTTGAGAGATAGAGACAGAGCACAAGCAGGGGTGGGGCAGAGAGAGAGGGAGACACACAATCCGAAGCCGGCTCCAGGCTCTGAGCTGTCAGCACAGAGTCCAATGCAGGGCTAGAACCCACAAACTGTGAAATCATGACCTGAGCTGAAGTCAGAGACTTCAACTGAGCCACCCAGGCACCCCTTATATCTTTATTTTGAGAGAGACAGAGATTGAGAGAGAGAGAGAGAGATACTAGTGGGGGAGAGTCAGAACGAGAGGGAGAGACAAAATCCCAACCAAGTATTTTGCTCACTTCAGAGCCTGACACAGGGCTCGAATTCACAAACCACAAGATCATGACCTGAGCTGAAGTCTGTTCCTTAACTGACTGAGTCACCTAGGTGTGCAACTCTAAATTCTTAATCTCACTTTCTTCCTCAGCAGATAAAAAATATTTTGTTAAAAATCTATCAGGATTTCAACAGTAATCTAAACATTTCCTTTAGATTGGAAATCTTTTTTTTTCTACCACCATGCTTACTAGTTATCACCTTTCCTTGTTGGCACTTATATTTGTGTATACATATATACAAATACTCCTATTATCTGTGTATTTGTGTTACATGTTATAACAGATTATAAGCTCCTGGATAACAGAATTGAAGTGTTATTCACGCCTATATTGTATGGAGTTCACCATGGTGTTTTGTCAGCAAGAATTATTTTCATGTTAAGATATAATTTTATGACATATCTACTAGGAAGAATATGCTATATATAGACAGAAACAAAACCAAATAAAATGACATCATGTATGATGTGTAAGTTTGGATGTGCTTTTTGAACTCTCAAATTTCAAGAGCAGTACGTAGCCACATTCAAAAACTATTATTCAGTGAATTTGATTTGATTCCTATGTTACAACTTATGGAAATACAGAATTTTGTTGAATCACAGAACTAGTGTGAGAGAGGAAAGAAAGCATGAACTAAAACCAAATCTGTCTTGTTGACATAAATTCCCAGTTGGGAACTGAAATGAAAAGACTTTATGTATGGTTTACATCTGTATTACAGTTAAGCATCACAAGCATTTTCCTTGTTGTTGTTTTCAGTTTATTTGTTTTGAGAGAGAGAGAGAGAGTGCAAGTGGGAAGAGCAAAAAGACAGAGCGAGAGAATCTCAGGCAGGCTCTGTGCTGTCATTGCAGAGCTCAGTGCCCCAACTGTGAGATCAGGACCTGAGCTGAAGTCAAGAGTACGATGTTTAACCCACTGAGCCACCCAGGTGCCCCGAAACATCCCAAGTTTTATCCAACACTGTATCAACAGTGCCAGAAACACAGTCTGGTAAAGACTAGCTTTTGCTAAATATTTGTTGGATGAAGAACCCAATGATTTTATTGAACAAAATAGATATAATTCAAATTTCTTTGTTAAATAGCTCAGGAATACTGGCAGATGCTTTGAGATTTTAGCATTACCAACCTCCAGTTCTCTGTCAGTCTCCGGAAAAATGGGTGGGGCACTAAAATGATTACTTTTATAATGACAAGAATGGGAACTCAATGGATATGCTAATACTTGATTTAAAATAACACTTCATGTTTCCATTTATAGTCTTCAAAAGATAAAAGAAAGTTTCAATAACATATTAATTTAATAAAATACTTATATACCTATAAAATATCAGGCACATTATAAAGGTACTAAGTGTATAAAGAAAGTTTATGAGGGTTTGACCCAGTTGGGTGTCCAAAATGTCTGCCTCATCTAAGGGAGATTAAATTGGAAACTTAAGAATGAGTAGACAATGTTTAATTTTGGTAGGTGTGGAAGTGTATGTGTTGGAAGGGTAGGGAAGGTTTGTACACCAAAGCTAATTAGCAGGGAAAAAGTCTCACCACTGGTGTGATGTATTCAGGGAACAGAAAGAAGCCAGTGTGGTTGGAAAGGAAAGAATCTGGCCTAATGCAAGTATAAAGTTAACGACATGCATAGTAATCAGATGGGAAAGGCTTCTCAGTTGGTAGTAAAAATTGTTAATCTTCAAAGAAGAGGAAACCATTACATATTGCAACACTTTCCTCAAGAAACAAGATTTTGTGTTTCACTGTGTTAAAAGGCCCTCTGCCTGACTGGAATGTTGGAAAATCCTCCCTTCTCTCTTACCAAAGGCAATTGTTGGAGGGGTGTTTTGTGCCACAAATGTGTATAAAAGTCTCTAATGTCAGTATGTTATGCAACTATGCTGTGATACCAAACTAAGTTTGAGACTATTTGTTTTGCAGGCATGTAGATTTTATTTAAAATGAAAAAAAAAATCTGTTTAATAAAAAAGAGGTCGTGTGATTAAAACAAAAATCACAGTAAGAAAAATGGGGCACCTACTCAACAAGGACTCTTGTAGTGACTAATTGAATCTATATATGAGTTGCCTATTAGACATGAATTTAATGGTATCAGTTGATATTGACAAAGTGTCTGTTTCCTAAAAGTAGATTTGGGGCTGGCTCTTGGGATTCTGCACTCTACAATTCTAGATTCCAGGTGATTTCCTTGCACTAATTCTCCAGACATTATCTCCCCCTTCTTAGTTTTCTTCTCAAAGCATGTGGAATAGCATTTTAGGTTGGTCTCTCTGTTCGCCCTTGGGGAACTAATTCTGATTTGGATTATTTGTCTCAGAAGAACTGCTTAGCAGCATTTGGGGTGGCCCAGAGACTGGGAGCTGCTGTTGACTCTCAAAACAGCTGCATCTAGTTTTGAGCTGGATCTCCTTCCTTATGTTTTAACCATAATTTATTCACCTTCAAAGTCAGAGCCACATGGGCACCTGGGTGGCTCTTTCAGTTAAATGTCCAGCTCTCGATTTCCACTCCGATCATGATCTCACAATTCATGAGATCCAGCCCCATGTCAAGCTCCACATCAGACTCTGCACTGGCAGTGTGTAGTCTACTTGGGATTCTCTCTTTTCCTCTCTCTGCCCACCCCCTGCTCATTCTCTTTCTCTCTCTCAAAATAAATAAATAAACGTGAAAAGAAGTCAGGGCCACTTGAAAATGATAATATCATAAATGGCACATTTAAGTGAACTGTAATGTAACACCCTCAAAGGCATTCTCAATTCAGTAGACAGAATCCTCTTCCAAAAATAAAGAAAAGAAAAGAAACTAATCCCTCAATTGCTTACTTAATGTGACAAAGAAGACAGCACCTTTCAGCTATATTTCTGCAATTATACCCAAATTTCAGTGACCTTTTCTTTTCCAGTGACAAATCCACACAAAGGATACTTAAAGAGAAGTTGTTCAACTTTTCTTCGGTAAAAGGCCAGACAGTACGTATATTAGGATTTCAGTCCATATAGTCTCTTCCCAACCGTTAAAACCTGTCATGGTACGGCAAAGGAGCCACAGGCCATTTAAGAAGGGCTCAGCATGGCTGTTTTCCAAATAAACTTGATTTCCAACAATAAAGAGCAAAACAGATTTCTCCTTCAGGTTTTATTTACTTGGAAGTATTTTAAAATACGATTCTAGAGAGTTCCTTTCTTCTCTCCTATCTCAGCCATGTGGCAGTATTACATTTTAGGCATATGATTAACCCCTAGTTTTAAATTATACTCTTACGTACCCCACATTTTAGAAAAAAATGTCTATTTTTAGTGTAATGTAGCCTCTACCAGGAGTCACCTGAAAAATATTGAACTATATATTTCTCCATACATGCTGACTCTTTCATGGTTCATGTGTAGGTAGGGTGCTTCTAGGTATTCAAGTTTCCAACAGTTACGTGTACCCCCATGACACCTGGAGA